GGAAGTAAAGAAAAAGGGGATACAGATGAATGACCATTTTGTATCTGTGTATTCAGTGGTTAGGATAGATATACAGTTACATTCTCTTAATGAATAGAGGGATTTGTTCTAATAGTGTTTGTAAATAGGATATCATGTCTGCATCTTGTACAGAAAATAATCACTAGGAAGAGAGTATGCATTTGAAACTGTCCTACCAATTTGATTTGAAACTGTCTCATTACTATTTGCTTTTCAATAAAATAATAAAAAAAAAAAAAGAAACACATTACATCTTTGATTTTGTTCCCATAGTCTGGAAATAAGTGTTAATTAACATAGCACCATAGTAATGGTGTGATTATATATTCATAAGAGAGCGATTACATATTCATAAGGGTGTAATTACATATTCATAAGGCCATAATTACATGCTCATAAGGGTATACTTTCTCATGCACGTTGTGCGGTTCTCAGAGCAGTACCTGAACAGTGCGGCTGTGAGCCGCTCCAGTGCCCATTGAGCTGGCAAGTCCTCGACGACAGGCCTAGAAGGGAACGCCTTCCCGTGCAGGAGTAGTGAACGGTAGACCCAAAAGTGTACTTCTCGCCAGACAGCACTGCGTTAGGAGGGACGCCAGGGTGTCCACAGTCAACCACTACAATACATAATTATTGAATATAAAATTTTTTTATATCTCCTATCGAACAACCTGAATGAACTTGTTTATAAAATAATTAGGAAACAAATATTCCATTCAATATTGAAAAGCTTCAGAAAGTAAGTATCTCTTCATGAGAGCTGCCTCTTTTCTTTCTTTCTTTCTTTCTTTCTTTCTTTCTTTCTTTCTTTCTTTCTTTCTTTCTTTCTTTTTGATAAAAGGTCTCGCTAGGTAGTTCGGTGTGACCTTGAACTCTTTTACGTACCCCAGGCTGGCCTTGAAACTCATCCTCCTGAAGTGATTCTCCTGTCTTAGTTTCCCAAATGCTGGTTCTACAGGGTTGAGCCACCAAGCCCTAGAGCTGCCTTTTCAAGTATGTATTAAGTTTGCATTTCTAGGAGTTTGTGGGCTAATGCAGTCATCCTAATAGAAAGTGAAAAATGAGTATAAGACTGTTAAAGTGGTTATGAAAAGTCCTTCACATTTGTGACTGTGGGCTCACACATGTATGCACTTGGGTGTGAAATGTGTGTGGGGGACGGGGACACACAAGTTAGGGATAGGAGTGAGATTGGCTACGGAAGGTCCTAGAAACATTATGAAGAATTTTGAGAGCAACGGAGCTGGCCCAAAGGCAGGTGAATACTTCCCAAACAGAGTGGTAATCTAGCATCATTTCATGCCAAGGACCCTGCGCAGACATGTTCACTTGTTCGTCACCTAAATCACCTCTAGGTGTACAACACTTAAGTCATCAGACTATAGAACATTCTTCAATAGTTAGAAATAGGTAGGGTGAAGGGTGGGTGCCCCCTTCTAAGAGGATTTGGAAAACAAATAATGAAATACATTTCTAGAACATCAAACAACATAGTTTAAGGAAACAAATTTACTAACAACTTAAATAGATAACACACTACTAAAAAAGTATTATAGGAAATAAAATGATAAAAAATATTCTAAAAAAAAAAGTAAAGAACTTCAGGATTACATGACCTATAAAATATTTCTAGCTATAATGAAATCACTTCCCAAAACTATGTGAGTCAATTACACTAATGAACTGAAACATAGATTTTGAGTAGCAGGTCAGTCTACTTAATAATTTGTATTAAATGTGAAATATTATGGATACAGTGCCAATGTTTTTATTCGTCAATCCATGAACTTTTACAAAAACCCGCCTTGTGAACATAAAGGAAATACTCTCCATCAAACAGTATCATAAGATAATCTTACAAGTAAGCTGTTTAATATAACCAAGAGTTACTTGCACAATGATTCTTCTCCTCTCTATTATATCAAAGCTTCATACAGTCTTTTCAGTTTGATATTTGTCAATGAACTAAAACTCCAGATTTAATTCACCTGTGTCTTCCCCACCTTTTGTTTTGTCTTTTCCATTATTTTTCTTACCACACATTTGCATCATATGTACTCCTGATATAGTTTATTTCTATGACTCTTAAATAGGATATAACAAAATATGCTTATTCAGTGTTCACTGACTTAAGGATGTGTACATTGACAATTACGATGTCTGTATATGATAAATATTGAGCAGCCATGGATTTTAAGTAATGTCTTTCTTTAAATATCCAAGTATGCTGAAGCACTGATAGTTCGATATCATAAGATTCACTGTATGTCAAATAAAATTTGAAATATTGACAGAAATAAAATGTACTTGTTACTTATGCATCTTCATAAAAGTCATAGTGTATAAAATTAGCTTATTTTCACATTTTATTTGCTGTCTTAAAACTGAAAATCAAAGATGATGGAGAAATATTTACTACATTGGTACCAAGAAACATGGCCACTGAACTGATTTGGCAGAATATGTGGAAGTGCAGTTTTAAGAAATAAAGCAGTTAATTCTGATACATAGCTCTAGCTATTTTATCAAGGCATTAAACGTGACTCAAACTCAGGACCTTGTGATTTCCAGCCAGACGTTTATGCTGCTGAGCTATCCGTCAGCCCAAGTTAATGTTACTGCAAGTATGATCCAACGTTTTAACTTCTAAAAATAAGTTAACCACTTAAGAAAAAGGAAATCATGATTACATGTTCCCAAGGAATAATTCACATTATCTACTTACTGATACATTCTGGTAATGGTTTGTCCCACTGTCCATTTGGCTGACATATCAATACGGATGATCCAAATAAAAAATATCCAGGATTGCAGTCATAGAACACCACAGTGCCATAGGTAAAATTTCCATGTTCTATTTTACTTTCTCTTTTGGAATTGGCTGGAATTCCAGGATCAGAACAGTTGACCACTAAAGAATGACAAATTTTGTTATTTTGGGGGCTGCGGGTACTGGCGATCAAACTCAGGACCTTGAGTTCACCAGGCAGTCACTTACAAAGTGACAAATTTTCAAAGATCTTTTTCAAATAATATACAGATACTTTTAGATATCCCTCTTAAATTTTTTTAATTTTTTTTCTGTATTGTAAGTAAGGGTCTACAGGGTGTTCAGGGTTTCACTATTAGTTTGGACTCTTAGTGATTCACCCATTTATAGCCTCCCAAGTGCTGAGATTATAAGTGAGCACCACCATGCCCAGTCTCAATTGTTGTTTTAGTGCCCCCCGGGGGCGGGGTGGTCACCTCTTAAAAATTTAAAATCTTAGTTTCAGAGATAAGAGGAATTAAATAAATAAAAAATTCTGGAATACACAAACTGGATAGATAATGCAATGGAATCACTATGGTTGAAAATATTGAAAAAAGAAAAAAATGAAAAATTTTCTGATAGTTATGCTGGGAACAGATTTTTCAAAAATTATCATTGAAACATTTGTGGAAGCACAAAAAATGTATAGAAAAATGATAATTTGATTATATTTTATTAGATAATGTGAAGTTCACTATATTTACCTGCAAAATGAGATCACAGTACAGAATTTTCTTTATTACTATATTGAACAAAAGAAGTAAATGTTCTATGCAATGGTCATAGAAATACAAGTCCCAGAGACAGGTTTTCAAAAAAAATGAATAGCATGAATGCCAAAGTTATCAATTATGAAGCAAATTCCATGTAAGAACAATCTTAAAGACTTTTATACATGAAGATTACAAAGATATACAAGTTAAAGGTCCTGTTTGTTTTTGATTGGTATCAGAACTCAAACTCAGGACCTTGTGCTTGCCACCCAGACATTTATGCTGCTGAGCTATCCCCCGGCCCAAGTTAAAGTTATTGCAAGAATGATCCAACAGTTTTAACTTCTAAAAATAAGTTAACCACTTAAGAAAAAGGAGATCACCAACAAGATGAAGTCAGTGTTTAAGCCGCTGGTTCACTCATTTAACACTTTCCCCTTTTTCTCCCAAAATGTTCCAGACCCTCCACCTTTGTTGCAGATACAGTGACAGATGCCCCACACCCCCTCATGGTGAGACCTTTACCTCTGCACACAGGTGGGGGGTGGCTCCACTGCCTGTTAGCTTGGCACTGTGCCTTTGTGGGTCCTTGCATGAGATACCCAATATTGCAGGAGAATGTTACCACGTCATTAAAGTTGAATCCATTGCCACTTGTTCTTCCATAAATCGGACTGCCAGGGTGACCGCAGCTAACAGCTAGTACCAACAGGTGTGAGAAAACAGACAGAAAAAGTGTTCAGTTATCAACCATCACCTGACAATGAAACTTTATCACTTCAAGCCAAGTGGAAACTGCACCTATGCGCTGAGAGTCATGTGAAGTATTTGTACTAGTGCAAAGCCACATGAGAAGATGAAATAATACAAATAATAGGTGAGCAAGAGAAATACACTAGTAAAACAAATTACTTAAGATTGTGAGTTTTACATAATTAGTCCTAGATCTTTAAAGTTTCATAGCTCCAAATTCATTCTCTTTTTCATATAAAGTAAAATTTCAAGGCAATTGAAAATAGCTAAAGTTCTTGTCGCTGGTTAGTAGCAGCAAGTACAAAATTGAACAAATTGTCTTTTTTTTTAGTTTGAGAACTAAAGCAACTTGAAGGCACTTACTTACTTGTGAGTTGTTCCATACAAATTATTTACACACTCAATTTTATGGCTAACAGCTTGATAAGCAGATGTGTGACTGAAATGTAAACTCGTGTGATAACACAAGGCAGATAAAACACAATGACACACGTGCTGCCCAAGAATTCTCAATAATATTTGCCAGCATGAGTGTTGATACTCTAAAACCAATCAATCTCCCTGGTTTATTGACTTTATTGTTGATATTTGATAATTTAACACAACTTTGCTTGGAAACTACACTCTCAGATGAATTACTTAGATGCTTTTAAGGTTTCAATCCTACTATAAGTTTTATGCAGCACTGGCTTTTCCTAAACACTCTGTTTTTCTGTGAAGTGTTTCATTGCCTCAGCTCACGCTATTAATCAGAGCAACTCCAGTAGCAGTGGTCTATAATTGGGCACTGTGAAAGACCACGGGAACCTCTAGTACCGCAAGAACAATTATTTTCAGCGATATTTTTAATGTCAGCCTAGTCATTTAGAAAGTTAACAACGTCTAATCTTCTTTAAAATTATCAATAGAGAAATAGGTTTTACTCTAAGAGCCAATTTTCATTTATAGTTTCAATTATTCGCCAGGAAAAAATAGTGGTATTAGGTGGTTATGTCTGAGTATAGATGAAAATTAAAATACCTAGGGCGATTGCACGCTGGAGTTAATAACCATATGTCATCAGACAATCCAGTATGGGAGCATGTGTATGTGTCTTAGAAAAGTGATTTTGTTAACTATAAGCCCTGTTATGGCAACACACAGAAGTCTTGTTCAAAAATTAGGATTTTAATCAACTTCAGTTCATCATAACTTGACAATAAAGAAATTTATCAATATGAGTTCAATTAGTCATATATTAATTAAAATACGTTGCATACACCTACACTTAAATATTACTTATTGGCTTCCACAAGCTCTGTAGCTATCTATTGTTCTCTGTTGTCATGATTATGACAGTTATAATGTTTGTTATCTACTGAACAAGAATTTTAATATGCCAATAATTCAGGATGGAATTTAAAAAGAGAGAAAAAAAAGATATAAATGTCATTTAATGTTTAAGATCCAACATGGGATAAATTGTGGTCTGAAATAGTGTGTACTTCTGAGCATTTGGTGAAGGAAGAAAATGTAATGGAGTTATCATTAGTCAATTATAATTGTACTTTTCAAATATAACTCATAATGAGTACACAATGCACCGGAGCCTGCAGGCTTTCTTTTTCCACTTAGGAACAGAATGCATTCCGCAGGAGGCTGTCTCGCTAATGGACCTGCACAGGTAGGAGCTGCGCAGTGAATGTGAGCGCCGCGGTGTGATCATAACCACAACCCAGCTGCAAAGGGACCAGGGGAAGTGGGAGTGCTGGGTAACTCCCTCAGGGTGCACGGCTAATGGGGCTGCACAGGCTCCCAGCACGCAAGAGAAATCTGGAAGCCAGAAGCGGGCAGGTAAGAAGCAGAGCATGATAGCTACATTATTTCACAACATGATGAATTTTAAAGTGAAAGGAGAAAATAATAATATTGATTTTCAGGTATTTCTTTCTTTATAAAGGAACAGTAGTCTAGAGGGAGTAAAAGATTTGTATCAGCTCACACAACTAGCAGTGGAACTGAAGTGGGAGCAGTGGTTCTTCATATGTTCTCTAAGGATGCTTTCCTCATTAATTACACTTCATCAGAAGTTGCTTTGGCACAATAACCATAGCAGTCCGACTATTAGAATGAATTTTCCTATCACAAGTATTTCCTGCTGGGGACAGAGAGATGACTCAATAGAATTAGGGCTTGCCTGGCAAGTGCAAGGGCCTGAGCTCAATCCCCCGTTCCGCCAAAAAAAAAAAAGTTTTTCCTACTATAGAAGTCTTATAGTATCATATAATAAGATGTTGATACTGTTGAACCAGAAATTCATAAAATTTAAACCCTTATTCTTAAAAATTTATAGAGAAACACCTTCAGAGTATATGTACTTATAAATATTATACATTATATATCAAGGAGCTGAGTTCAATTTTCATTCTGTATGGAAAGCAGAGTAGCTTTTCTAGTATAACAATAATCCTAATATTTTCCTGCGCTTCTCCTGTATGATTTCACATGCTCCTGAAAACATTTCACTTTAAATACTACTACATAACATCACAAAAACTGCATCACAGGGATTTAATTTATGCTGCGATATATTTAAGCTATAAATAAATTATGCATTTGTCTCATCCATGAAAGCCATTATTCATCATGCCCTGAGTGCAGAGCCCTGAGCACTTTAGCCATGCCTACTTACGCACACAGGATGGGAGCTGACCAGACCAGTTGTGGTCCTGCTGACATATCCTCACTGAAGAGCCAATCAGCCGAAAGCCAGGATTGCACTGGTATACAACGGTGTCCCTGTACCCGTAATTTTCTCCAATGACTTGACCATTCACAATGAGCTCGGGAATTCCACAGTGACCCGCTGAAGTGGATTAAAATAATTTTGGTACATTATTGTTTTCTGCATAGTTACACGCATATGTAGATTTACTAAGCTCTTAAAATTTACTTAGCAAAAGAATTCAAAGAATTATATGATCAAGAGGCACTTTGCATAACACCAAGGACTTTGAAATTAATAGATGCAAATTTATTACAAGTTTTAGAAGAATATATAAGGCATTTCAATTTAAATAAATGAAAATGTAAGACAGAGGCTTTTTAAAAATATGGACAAAATAATGCTCAGTAAACAATGTATAGGGGTAAGTGTTCTTGTATGAAATAAAAAAGACCTAACACTCTGTCTTAAAATGAAAAAAGACAAGCAAAATAAAAATGTACTCAGAAGAAAATACTTAATATTAAGTAGATAGAAAAAATATTTAAGACAATTACAGAAACCAAAGAAATAAAAATATCTAATACCATAAATTGATGCAAAAGTTATTTCATATAAAATAGTAACAAAATCTTTAACCTCCTAATGAACTTTATCAACACACAAAAGAGGGAAGACAAAATTAATAGTAATAGAAATAAATGAAATGGCAACGATGTAAATCCTTTAGAGAGTAAAAGGAGAAGAGGATATTGAGAATGGCTTCATGCTGATATATTTTCAGAGTTCAGAAGAAAATGACAAATTTGCAATTATAACGTGATAAAACTAAAATAAAATACAATGAAAACCATGAGTAGTTCTACACTTACTGTTTGATTCCAAACAGAAGCATAAAACCGATAAAATCAGAGATTTAAGAAAGAAAAAATAACAATAGAAACTTCAAAATTTTAAGCAAGATAAGAGACATCAATCTTCTAGAAACCCTTGGCAAAGAGAAGAAAAAAATAATAATTTTTTGACTTGATTTATGAGACAACCATAAGACCAAAAGTAAAACCTGAACATGACACATGAAAATGAACAATGTCCTTTAACATCTAAACAAGAGAATTCTCCTTAACAAAATTTGAGAAAATTAATCTGGCATTATGAAGAATAAAACTACATCATGACTGAGGTTTATCCACATGTGAAAGGTTGGTTTAAGTTGGAAAACCAGATACTGTAATTTATTATATTAACAGAGTAAAGGAGAACAAAAATCTATGTATCTCAATAGATGAAAAAAAAGCATTTGGCAAAATTAGTGTGTATCCCTTATAAAAGCTAACAGCACAGTAGACAGAAACAGAACTTTCACAATGTGGAAAGACATGAAAAATGTCCAGCTTATATATTTACCAGTTTAATACTGAATGCTTTTCCCCTGATATACAATAAGACAAGGATGTTTACTAGTTTGAGTTTTATTCAACATTGTGCTGCTGGTCCTACCCAGTGTGATGCATTTTTTAAAAGTCAGGAAACAAGCATAAGTTTGGCGGGGAGGTAAAACTATGTTCAAAGGACAGGTATAGGAAATCCTATTAAAAAAATTCAGACGATTGAGTAAATTTAGGAACAATACAGGATACTACAGCAATACTTTTAAGCAACAATATTTCATACACTGGTAGTAAACAAATTAAAAACAAACAATGTAACTTATAAGCAAATATTCTGGGTAATAAATTTAGCATTAAATAAACAGAATCTCTGTGTTAACATTGCAATATTTTGTTACTGTAAACATTTGAAGACCTAAACAAATGAATACATATGCTATACTCATAGATCAGATATTTCAATATTGCTAGGTGCTAATCTCCCTAAATTGTTCTATAGATTCAGTGCAATCCTGACACAAACTTGCTGCATATTTTTGTTAGAGTTTAGCAGATTAATTTTAAGAAGTTATCTGAAATTTAAAAGACTTAGATGCATGATCTCAGGTCTTATTCTGACATTGTTTCAATAAATATTGCAGATACCATTCTAGAAAACAAGCAACAAGCCTCAATCCTACTACATAACAAAAATTAAAGATTTATAAATAAAATCTAACATAAATTTTCTAGAAAAAAACATAACAGAAAATCTTTATGGCTGACAGTCTAGCAAAGGTTTCCTAAGGAGAACATAGAAAAAAACAACCACAAGGGAAAACAAAGAAATAGACTTTATCGAAGTTAAAGTCTGTTTATCAAAAGACTCTATCTTTAAAAATTAATAACCATGTCAGATTGGGAAGGAAGGAATATCTATAAAACACATAAGAATGAAGCTCTTCCAATCAGAGTTTGAAAAGCTACAATTCAGAGTTAAAATGAAACTCACAATCTGGTATTTGCAAACATGACAAAAGTTTTATGAATAGCTCATAAGTCAATAAGCTGTGCCAATGATCAGAAGTATGAAAAAATACAAATGAAAATCTCATGCAGGAAAAAAGAAAACCTCTCGTTGGTGTTCTCTTCCTGAGTACTCAAGAGAAAGAGTAAAGAGCAATTTTGTTCACCGTAGGCCAACACTGGACAATGCTGTGGTGTCCCTCAAGAAGAGAAGGCCTGAAGTGTTTCATGGCCATATAATGGAACCTTATCCAGCAATAAAGAGAAAGCATTACTGACACAACAATATGCATGAGGGAGGTTGAAAGAAATCTCATAAAAATCATGAATAATTCAGGGTTCCATTAATTATGTGGTGGAATAGTTCCAGGAACTATGTGGTGAAAGTATTAAATATGAAAATTATGATGAAAAATTTCAAATAGCTATTGCCTCAGATTGAGGAAAAAGATATTTGTAGACCTGCAGCATCATGAGGAATCTCAGTGAAGCAATGATAAGACGGTGCATTATAAAAGTGCTGAATTCAGCAGGAGTACATGCTATATGGTTCGTGTCTGGAGGTTCCCCAAAGCCCCATGTGGTCACAGGGCTTTTCCAGAGGTGGCTGAATCTAGATTGTGTTATGCTGGGATTAAGGATGTGTGGTTAGGATACCAGTCTACTGACTGGTTTGGCACAGTTCTGGCTAGGATTGTGGGTAGGAGTGCTACACCTGTCCTAGGTCAGGTAGCCTGCATACAACATAAAGGACACAAAGAACCCTGTCTCTCTTCGTAATTGTTTTTGCTAACTTGTGGGCACCATGGACAGTTCCACCTTTGCAAAGTGACCTTCCCTGCCTTGGAGCCAGCCAATTATGTACTGAAGCCTCTACAGACTGTCTGCTAAATAATTCTTCCCCCATTAACTTTCGGTGTTAGATACTGTATCCCAAAATACA